GTTTTAATTAAAGTATGGAGTTATGTAATGCTTTATACCTCCTCCTCTGATGGCAATTAACAGTCTGGCTTTTTATATATTTATTTAAACGTTCAGGATTTTGACGTTTAATAAAACATTTTTGAATTTGAATTGATTTGAATTTTCATGTCACTGGTTGTTCTTCATAGTGGTTCAACCATGTGTTTGAACAGAGGACTCCTTCATGAAAGAACTTAAGAAAGGTCTGTTTCTTCCTCTCAGCTCCAGGTCAGGCAGCTCTGTTGGGGAAGTGTCGGAGACCGAGGACAGCTTTCACCAGTCAGCAGCTGCTGGAGCTGGAAAACCAGTTCAAGCTCAACAAGTACCTGTCCAGGCCCAAACGCTTTGAGGTGGCCACCTCGCTCATGCTCACCGAGACTCAGGTTAATGCAGCATGTCTGTCAGATCATTGTGATTTTAAATTACTCTCTTAATTAACCTTAAAGACTCATTCTTTTTTTAAAAAAAGATCATGAACTTTGTTAAAAAGTGCAGTTTGAAAGAGTCTTTATTTTGCAGATATTTTGATTTACATTCAATGTAAACACACCTTACTTTACTCAACAAATCTGAGGATTACAAATTGTCAGACTTCTCAGCCTCAAATGCATCTGGACGTGAATATTGACCTACTTCTAAACAAATGCATGCATTCCTCTTAACTTTTAACATTATGCTATTTATATTTCATGATTCCCAGCATGTCATTAATAAGTCTCATTCATTTTCAGTGTGCGTTGCCAATGGAATGCACATATTATGATTTGTTTCCCATCCAAGCCATCTCCACTTTGGCACGCTTCTCCTCCTGCATACTTTGTCCTAGAGCTGCCATTGTAATTTATATCTGTAAAGCTCCTGTGCCAAATGATGGCTATGCGTTTTGATACCTGTACAACTTATAGTTTTTGAAATATTAATGTTTAATAATTTATAATGGGAGTCAATTGAGCCTTGTATTGGTCCAATACTGCCCCATGCTGTATCTACTCAGTACTGAACCATAGTTTAGTAATATTTAAAGTCAGTAGTTCAGTGTTTACAAAACTAATATGTCAGCATTTTGATGTTTTACTATAATGTTGTCCTAATATTGCTTTATTGTTATAATATATTGCAGTTTAGTGTCAACAATTGCATTGGCGATGTGGCCTCTTTCTACACAAACCAACTTCTGCCAATCCTCTCTGCCACAGCTCCAGTGGTCTCATGGTTAATGCCTTGGGCTTTCATGTGGGAGATTAGGGTTCAAAACCCAGCGACAGCAGCTTTTACAAAAAATCTCTTCAAACTTCATATTGTCACACCATTACCCTCATTACAAACATCTGCTGACTTGACAAGCACAAGCTGGTATAGAAAACACATTTGAACTTGGTCACCGTTCATTCTGCAAGTGCACTTCTGCAGGCAAAGCCATGACATGCTACATGGCAATGCACACTTGTTTTTACATCGTAAAAACCCGTGGTCTAGTGATATTTGATTTTTACAAACAAAAAACAACAAAGACCTAAAAGTTGTTGCATATTGTGAGTTGTAAATAATTGCACAATGAATTGTTATATAATTTACTGATTTTCTTTATTATTTTTTTATCACAGTCAGCAAAACACCACATAGAATCCATTTTATTTTTGTATTTATTTTCATTTTACTTGTGTCATTTTTAGGTAAAGATCTGGTTCCAGAACAGACGCATGAAGCTGAAGAGAAGTCATAAAACTAAAGACAAAGTAGCAGCAGCCTCTCGGACGCAGGATGTGCAGAGAATCAAACATCACGACGGCTCGCTCAGCTCAGGCCTGGAAGACGAAGAGGACAATGAGGATGGAAAGGTGGAAATAAAAAAGCTGGGGGGAGCCACTTTCGGTTCTTTCAGCTTCCAGAGGCATGGATCTGGTGGAAATGAGAACTCCTACTCAGATGGGATTAGAGAAGGTGGTCTGAGAAAAAACAGTGGGGTTGTCCCATAGTTTCAACTACGCTGAGTTTTTATTGTATGTTATGTTTTATTAAGTTTGAACTCTAACTCTTGGTACAAAGACAAACTTTTATTACAAAATCTCTTTTAAAGCCTAAACAAAATCCAGTTTCTCCGCCTGTATTTTCTTTGCCAGTAATTTGTTTCACACTCTCCAAACAGTCCAGAGACGATTTGATTTTGATGATTTTATTTATCTGTAGATTTGGGTAGGAGTGTTTTATGTGTTTCTCTACTTAAACCCTACACCTCTCAGCTCAGAAGCAATGTATGAAAACAGGTAAAGCAAAAAATAATTAATGCAAATGCACTAAATTTTAATTTATTTATTTTTGTTGAAATTTCTAAATGGATGAAACATAACCTGTGTATTTATGTAGTAATAACTACATATTGAAGACATAATAAAACCACGTTATTCTATTTTGCATTGGAGCATTCACTTTCTAAACAGCAACGTGTTTTACAAACATTTAAGCAATTAAACTTTTGACAAACCACTTTTGTTGTCACCTCATTTTATGTTTTTCATTATTCTTTTAAAATACATGGATTTTAATTAATTTTATTATTTTTTTTACAATATCATCCATATATTTTAACATTCTAAACATGTAAATTATGAAACTTTGACTGTGGGTTTGTGTAGAATGTGCATAAGGTCTGTTTTATTCAAATTAATTTTTTTTATTTACCTTTTAACTTACTTACAATGTCAGATAACCAACTATGGTCCACTCCAATGAGGTATAAGCTAGAGGTGCCATTGTGTGGGAGCAAGCAGCCATCTTGTGCAGGGCGAGGGCTGTGCATCAAGCAGGAAAAGCCTTGTTTCCTAGTCTGAATTTGTGGAAATAGAAATGTATCATTT